AATTACCCTCCTGTAGCTTCCATCACTGAGATATTTTATTCTTTTCATACCCTGCATGTACTCATGCCTACCTCCTCACTCTTCCTCATATCTTATACAAAACAAGTCCATCAGCTGAAATATATAGAATACTCGCTACATTAAATTTTTATGTTCTCAAGTAAAAGATAAACAACTATATTGTGCACTTTCATACCCTTCTATCAAATAGCATGTATTATCAATAATTTAATATTTACTTTATATCAAACTATAAAAGAAAATGTGAGAAGCATAAAGAAAGCAATTCCTTTCAGTCCTATTCATTTTATGTTCATAACAAATTTGTCTTCTTGTGGGGTGCCTAACAGAGGGAGTAGGGGATGTCTATTTTTGGGACCCTTTCCTCCTACTAGGTTGCCTGATTCAGTGTCAATAGCAGAGGAGGTATCTAGTTTTACTGCACTTAATATGCCATGGATGGCTGATATCCATGGGATGCCTGACCTTTACTGAAGAGAATGAAGTAGGAGTGGAGTAGGAGTTTGGGGAGGGAATAGAGAATGGAAGGAGGGACTGGGAGTTTGGATAAACTGTGATTTGGCTGAGAAAAAAAATAATTAATTAGTAGTAAATAAAAAAGAAATTGGCATTTCCACCTTCTTGAAAAAAGTTGGGCGCCGGCATCTCCTGTGACGCCTTCTTCCGTTGTCGCCGGGTGTGTCCTCGCCGTCCTCCCGTTCCCGGGGCTGCCGCGCGTCCCCTCGCGAAGCAAGCATGGCGATGAAGGCCGTGTGTGTGCTGAAAGGCGACGGCCTGGTGCAGGGCACCATCCACTTCGAGCAGAAGGCAAGTGGTGAACCAGTTGTGGTGTCAGGACAAATTACAGGATTGACTGAAGGCCAACATGGGTTCCACGTTCATCAGTTTGGGGATAATACTCAAGGCTGTACCAGTGCAGGTCCTCATTTCAATCCTCACTCCAAGAAACATGGCGGCCCAGCGGATCAAGAGAGGCATGTTGGGGACCTGGTCAACGTGACTGCTGGGAAGGATGGTGTGGCTACTGTGTCCATTGAAGACTCTGTGATCTCTCTCTCAGGAGAGCACTCCATCATTGGCCGAACGATAGTGGTCCATGAGAAGCAAGATGACTTGGGCAAAGGTGGAAATGATGAAAGTACAAAGACTGGAAATGCTGGAAGCCGCTTGGCTTGTGGCGTGATCGGGATTGCCCAGTAAACATTCCCTGTGTGGCTGAGTCTAACTCATCTGCTCTCCTGCTAAACTGTAGGAAAAAACCATTAAACTGTAATATTAAAAGTGTAAAAAAAAAGGAAAAAAAAAAGAAAAAAGTTGTCAGACAGTTTGTAAAAACACAGTATAGAAGGCAGTAGTACACATAGAGAGTCACTTTTTTGAATTTATCTCCCAAGGGAGTATAGACTCACTTATCTAATAACCTCATTTTCTTATTCTCTGGAGTAAGAGCCTCTGGGACAGAGACACTACAAAGATCTTCGCCCACTTCTCTGTACACACACTATGAGGAGACAAAGGAGCACTTCCTATCTGGGTAGGTTGAAAGAAAATCTCTGTGAGTTAGAAAACTACTATATTGATTCAAGAAGAAGCTTACGTAGAGTGATTGGAATAGACCTAGTATTCATTTTGTTAGATAATAGCAGTGCTTTCTCTGATTTGTTTAGCCATTTATATAGGGTTAAAAGTTATAACATGAAACATTTTAAGTATAAACTGATCAAATAGATAAACCAGTTTATAAGCTACATAGTTAGGGAAAACAAAGCTCACATTCGGTCACAATACAATCCATTCAAATTGTCTTTTATTCTTGCATACCTATAAATTTTCACTGAAAATTAATGATTAGTATATTTGATACACAAATGTCATTAATATGGTCCTAGATATGCTTTGCAAGGTTAAAGAATAAGTCTTCAAAGTACAGGAAAGAAGTATTCAAATATTCTTGGTAAAATTCATTTTCATTTCCTCCATTTTCTATAATTATAAATGGTTATATTAAGAAATTAATGAAAATGCTCTTACTCTCAAATGTAAAGTACCTAAAGTTGAAGAAAGGAAAGAGTGTGGGAACAAATGAGAGGGTCATAGATACAGATGAGATATTTCAACAGGGCTTCTATAGGAAAAATATAAAAGACAGTGCACAACAGGAGAGGGGAAATAGAAGTACATTACTCTAAGGTATATTTCAACATAGATGGTAGATAATTGATGATTGTTCCTTACAATGCCCATGGTTTTTGGTAGCAGAGTGAGCTTCATATTATAAAAACAAAAATATAAAGAAATGTATAGGGAGGGCACAGGAGGAGGGGAGGGAAATGGAGAGGGACCTGGAACTGACTTGTGAACCAACCATGTTTCTAATCTAAATTTAAACTTAAAAATAAAAAAATTTAATAAAAAAAGAAATGTATAAAACAAAGGAAATATTATCGACAAACAGATAGGGACCAAATTAAGGTTTGAATCCATACAGGGGATCAGTAGGTACAGTTAGTGTTGGTGAAGTTGAATAACAAAAAGAATATAAAAATGCAAGGTGCACAGTATGAAAAAAATACATTCGCTTTGGAAAGAAAAAGGTGTATGGTACATTTTGGGGGAATTTCATATATGAATACCATTTTTCCCTCCCTCACTTTCAACTGACAACTTGCCATGCCCCTTTCCTCTCAAATCAATTGCCTTTTTCTTTGGTTATTATTATTATATATACATGTAAATTGACACATATATATTTAAATATATTATATGTGAAGAATTCAGTGTTTTGAATCTCAAAAGTGGAGAAATACAAATGACCAGAACTATAGTGGAAAGGTACAGAAAACCCTTTATTATATCTGATCTGATTTACCGTGTCTTTCCCTGAGCTCCTTTCAGACTCATGTTCTCTTGAAAATTAATAACACCTTGGCATATGATGTGTTGAATGAGATGCTACCCTTTAAAGCATCTATCCCTGGAATTAATACCTTGACACTGTCAAGGAAAATGTGAATCAGAGTGTATAGGATTGTGGTTACAGAGCACAGTGGAAAGATTCAGACCTCTATGCAGACAAGTTGCTTACATAATGTATTAGCTAAAATCATATGACGTAGAGTAGGCCAGAGTATTTGAATATTTGTTTATATCTGATAATATACTGTGAATTCAATTGTTGGAACCTCAACTGGTGGTATTTGGATTAAATATAGAATCTTATTATAGAACACAGAACAACTGCTGGGCGTTGGTAGCGCACGCCTTTAATCCCAGCACTTGGGAGGCAGAGGCAGGCGGATCTCTGTGAGTTCCAGGCCAGCCTGGTCTACAGAGTGAGTTCCAGGACAGCCTCCAAAGCCACAGAGAAACCCTGTCTCGAAAAACCAAAAAAAAAAAAAAAGAACACAGAACAACTTACAAACTCATAAATGAGAATAATACTGTTTTAGAGTTAATAATCTTATGGCATTTTGCAACATTACTTATTTCTTTAATTTGCAACAAAAAGAATTGACACTGAGAAGACTGACAAAAATTACGTTTTCATTTATCTTTATTTTTGATTGTCTGTTGCCTGTGGTGCAAAATTACTTTCATAACATGTAATAGAGATTAGAAACATATGTGTCCCCAGAGAATTATCCTAAATATGTTATTTCTGATGTCACTGGAAAACAGAACTTGATCGGTTTTTATATGTTTTAGGATCCCAAGATGAGAACTAAATATAATTTTATTTAGTAAAAAGAGAAGAATCAAAGTAATTCATTATTCTTTGTAAGTTATTAATTTCTACACGTACTGGCTAGCTTTTATATAACAACACATACTACATTCATCTAGAAAAAAGAAATATTACTAAATGTCTTCATAGGATTGACCTGTAGGCAAGCTTGTATTATTATTGTTATTATGAAATTTTTGATTGATGATTGATGTGGCAGGGACCATATTCTTGTTGTACTGGATGGTATAACAATGAAGGTTGAAAAGCCATGAGGATCATACCAGTATGCAGACCCCATCTTGGTCTCTGTAACAGTCCCAGTCTCTACATGTCTGCTCTGAATTTGTGATTCACTGTGATCTGCACACAAATGATGAAACAAACCTTCTCTTCCAAAGCAGTTTTTAGTTATGGCACTTTATCACAACAATATAAACCCTAACTTGCTTGATACACAAGTGTTTCAAAATAATGAATATATGTTCTAGTGAGTTGAATAGTAGTTCTTACCACACAAAGGTATTTCTGTACTCTTAAAGAAACACACACTTATTTTACTAATGTATTTTTAGATTAATTTTAGAAAGAGTAAAACAATTTTTAAGTATTCATAGGGAAATTTTATATTTTTAGGTATAAAATTAATAGAAAAGGGAACTGTGAGGAATAAAAAGTGACAAATAGCAAAAGAAATAAAATACATGATCTTATTTAGATATGCAAAAATTCAATTATGAAATTAAGGCAATATTAATAGGTAAAACAAATATTTTCAACTGCAACAGAAAATAATAAATTCACAGCACAGCTCAAATATTCCTTTTAGAATATGACATTAAAAACCATGGAAAAGGAATCACTTGTAAAATGATCTGTAAAGAAATGTGGAAAACCAAATGTAAGTGCTATTCCAGAATACTGTATTGTTACAAGAATAGCTAATTTTTTAACCATTCTCTTTCTTGGTCTTTAGAGATGATATTAGGTGGTCAAGGTTTGTGATCCCAACCTAAATATTCAGAGCTGGGAGTAGCATGGGCTAAATAACAACACCTTATCTCATAAGAAACCAAAAAAGAAGGAATAAAAAGAATAGAAAAAGAAAACATATGTTGGTGTATTCTATATAAATAAAAGCAGAGTAGAAAACACACCTCTTTTTAGGATATAGTAAATTATTAAGTACCACTTCTGTAACATAAAGTGTAAATACATCCTTTGGATTTTTCCTTATTCCTATAGGTGCCCTGAAGATTCATGGATCAGACAAACTGCACCCACGTCACACATTTCATTCTTGTGGGCCTCACAGATCGTCAGGAACTGAAGATGCCCCTCTTTGTGGTATTCTTATCCATCTATCTTTTCACAGCAATAGGCAACCTGGGACTGATTCTAGTCATTAGAGCAGATGCAAGACTCAACACGCCCATGTACTTTTTCCTTAGCAACCTGGCTTTTGTTGATTTCTGCTACTCTTCTGTCATTACACCCAAGATGCTGGGGAATTTCCTGTATAGCAAAAATTTCATATCCTTCAATGCATGTGCTGCCCAGTTAGGCGGCTTTCTCACATTCATGGTATCAGAGTGCTTGTTACTGGCTTCCATGGCATATGATAGATATGCAGCCATTTGTAACCCTCTACTATATATGGTCACAATGTCCCCCGGAATCTGCATTCAGCTTGTAGTTGTGCCCTATAGCTATAGCTTCCTGATGGCATTGATTCACACTCTTCTCACCTTCCGCCTGTGCTATTGTCATTCCAATATCATCAATCACTTCTACTGTGATGACATGCCTCTTCTCAGACTAACTTGCTCAGACACTGACTACAAACAGCTGTCGGTTTTGGCCTGTGCTGGAATCACATTCATTTCTTCTGTTCTGATTGTTTCTATCTCCTACGTGTTCATTGTTTCTGCCATTCTTAGGATGCGCTCAGCTGAAGGAAGACGCAAAGCCTTTTCTACCTGCAGCTCTCATATGATGGCTGTAAGCATCTTCTATGGAACTCTTATCTTTATGTACTTACAGCCAAGTTCTGACCACTCTCTTGATACAGATAAGATGGCCTCTGTCTTCTACACAATGATCATCCCCATGTTGAACCCCTTGATCTATAGCCTCAGGAACAAGGATGTGAAAGATGCCCTGAAGAAAGTCATCAACAGTAGAAACCGGACTTCTGTGTTTAGAGAACTAAGAAAATAATTTCGATAAACAAACATAGACATTCAACCTTGATCATTTCCCCAATATGTGTAAAATGAGTTTACTATCTTGTACTTAATTGTTGCTCAATGGAGTTACATTCATTATAAAATAAAACATTTGTATGTCCTTTCTCATTTTTATTTTATTGAAATGGATTATTTTTCATACAGTATATTCTAATTACAGTTTCTCCTATCTCAACTTCTCCCAGCTCTTCCCCACCTCTTCTTCTATCTGAATCCAACCCCTTCCTACCCCTCATTAGAAAGCAAATAGCTAATTAAGATAATAATGAAATGTAATAATATAAAAGAAAAGCAAACAAATTGTACTAATATATAACAAACCAACATAAGAGAAAGTGTACAAGAAAAAGCACAAAAAACAGACATACATGCAGACTCACTAGTTTTTGTCATGGTGCAGATTTACCTTCTGAATGTTTATCTTATATACACAGACAAATACTAAATCCTGCCCTAGTAAGTCTTTTTTGGAAGGACACTAATCTCATCACAAAGACATCATCTCCATGTCTTACAGAAACCATCTTAAAATACTATTTTATTAGGGGTGGAAGTTTCAACACATGATCTTCAGGAAAACAAATCAATCTATTGGGGCATCATTGTCTGTAATATATTAAAATAATGTTCTTTCCATGGTGTTTCCTTGAATTGGCCAATAAAACAATCTAAAAGATGATGCTTTGGATCATATTGTTATGGAAGCAAGGCAATATCAGAAGCCAAGAGTCTAGAATAAGAAACACATAGTTATTGAATATTTTAAAACATCAAATAAAGAGTGCATTATGTTTTATAATTCTTTGAAAGAGATTCTTAGAACTTAGTTTTTTAATCATATGTAAATATTATACATAACTATTTTATTTTGTTTCACGTTTTTTGTAATGTTTTCCTTTTTTTACTTTTATTGATTCTTTGCGAATTTCATATCAAAACTAATTTATCTGCCCTTCTCCTTGCATCTGTCCTCTGCCCTTGCAACTTCACCCCAATGAAAACCAATTTTAAAAGGAACACCAAAAACTAAACAAAACAAAGAAACCGTTCTCATCTTTTATTAAATGAAGATAAATATAGGCATTTACACTAAGCAACAGAAATAATATAACAATGAAAATCAGGAAAAATGACATTCCCAAAATCTGAATATTAGGGCAATGATATGATATAAGAGTTTAAGATCTGTGGTTTCTACAAACCACATATATTAATTATGTCTCTCCTGCTTTGCGGCGTCTATAGGGTATAAACTGTAATTTTTCTTGATAATCTTTCTTGCATCATTCTTCTAAGTAGATCTTTTGGGATAGTGTCAAAGATTAAAAAACCTTAGTTTGTTGCTGCCTAAATACTACATGCAGAAAAATAGAAACTCGTGCTTTTCAAGTAAGTTCAACGAACAGGTTTTAACATTAGTGACAAAATAAGTATTTTAAAATTGAAGACAATAATGATATTTATACTGAAACATTTTAGATGACATTTTCTGAAATAAACCTTAAGTTTCTTCTTGTTTATTTTAGTTGCATATATACTTAATAGTACATAAAATGTGTAATTAGAATGAAGTGGGGAAAGATTTGAGAATTATAAAATCTATTATTTTGTAAAAGGTACATACACAAAGGAAACATTATAATGTATTTCACAATCTCATTTCTTAAAATTCTGCCTTTCTATAGTTAATTTTCATTAGAAGAGTAATTGTAATTAGGGAATCAGTATTTATGCCTAGACTTTAAAACTCCACTATTTTCCTTTTTTGTTTCTTCCTTCCTTCCTTCCTTCCTTCCTTCCTTCCTTCCTTCCTTTCTTCCTTCCTTTCTTCCTTTCTTCCTTCCTTTCTTTATTTCTCTCTATTTTAGCATGAGTATTCAACCCAGAAGGAAATTTCACTTCTATGTTGTAAGAAGGAACTTAACTCTATTTTGTATTTCAGTACCTTAGACAAGCAATTCCAAATAAGGGACAAAATCACCAGTGCATGGCATTGCCCTAATTTAAACACTAGTGTTGATTTTAATGTTATTATTATGATAAAAATACAGCAGATATGCCAATGCACACAGAAGGAAGCCATCAGGGCCTCAACTCTATAAAAAAAAAGTACTGGCCTAAATAATGCTGAGAGTGGGAGACACAGTTTACCCAGGAAATATCACACAAATTCATTGTTCAATATCAGACACTCAGTCATGAAAACATAAGCACAATCACATTATACAGAGTAAGAAGGTTGTATTTGTGTATTTATGAATATAAATGTATAATTATATGTGCATATAACAAAAATTAATGAACAGAGAAATCGTGAAATGAAAAAGAGCAAGAAAGCTTATGTAGAAGGTATTGGAAGGAGGAAAGAAAAATGGGAAATGATATCACAATGTTATAATATTAAATATATAATAAATAATTCAAAGTAAATGAGCTAACTCTCAAAGAAGACTCAAAGTGTCAAGAAAGTCCACTAGTATAGAAAGGATGAGTGATTTGTCTAACCTATGTGTATTTTGTGAGGAAATACTGACCCTTTGTGTTATAGAAATACTAAGAAAATACAAGACATTTATTTGTATGACTTTCTTTGAAGATGATTGTTTTTTATGGGCTTTGATTCGGTATTCAAAGATACATGATGTTCAAGCAAATATATGCACATACATGTAGGGAGAGATATTACTAGGCACCTGGCACTGACCATTTCCTTTTGGGCATGGCCACAGCTGCATATGGGACATATGGGATATAGGCCTGAGGAGGGGCAGGCAATCGCTTTCTCAGGATTCCAGTCAGGTCTTGGAGAGCAGCGAAGACTGCATGCTCTGAGCACTGACCATTAGTTATCGGTTTCTCATGTAAATGATCTCTCCCCAATAAAAATACCTATGACATCCCTATGCCATGTATGGCAATCTTCATACTATATCTCCTATACATACATATCTCTTCTGCACAAGAATCTAAGTTCAAAGAAGTTGATGGAATTTCTGAGTATAAGGAAATATAATATGGTATTTCAGAAAAGCAATAAAATAAATTACCCCAGGAAAACAGGAAATGGTTAGAGGGAAGCCAAGTATGTTTGTGTTCCTAGAGTCGGTGGCAATACTGACAGGCCTTGGGTGGAGAAAAGAACAGAGGTAAGCATACATAATGAAATCCTATGAGACTGTGAATATGCTGCATGTTTTTGGGAAAGAAAACAGTGGGTTCAATAGTCTTCAATTATTTTGACAGACATAGCTCTACATATGAGGGTATAGTTTTGGATATTTTCATTTGTTCTGCAGTAGCTTTGTTTTGGGTTTATCAAGACAGGGTTTCCCTGAATAGCCCTGGCCGATATGGGAACTCAGTTTGCAGAGAAGGCTGGCCTCAAACTCAAAGAGATCTGCCAGCTCCTGTCTCCTGAGTGCTGGGACTAAAAGAGTGTGCCACCACTGCCACTTGACCATGGTTAAAAATGTCATCATGTTACTATCAGGCCGATTTACAAACTAAAGCATAATTTTCTCTTTCTTACTTGAAATGTTTCTTTAAATTGAAGACTGATCATCACTTATTCATATCAAAGCAAAAACATGAGACTAAAATTTTTCTTCTTTGTATTTTCTCCATGTATTTAAAAATTTATATGACCATGCTTAAAGACAGTATAGAATGAAGTCAGTGTGTGTGTGTGTCTGTGAGAGAGATGTTGTGTATGGGCACATATTGGTGAGTACAACATGTGCATACAATTGTGAAGGTAAAAGATCACAACTTTAACTTCCTTTCACCTTATTTTGACACAGATTTCTCAAAATACATAGAGTTCTCAGTTTGAGCTACAATGACTGGTCAATGAGCTTCTGGCATTCTCCTGTGTCTGTTCACATAATTCCTGGTTTACAGGTGAATGCCGTCACTGTTCCTGGTTCTAATGTGAGTGTTTGAGATTTGAACTCAAACCTTCCCACTTGCTATGCTAGCAAGTACTTTAGACATCAAGACATCTCAAGAAACCCTATAATACAATTCTTTTGTATAAAATAAATTGAAATTGAATACCGTTACCCTAGCTCTATAAACATCTCAAATTAAAACAGAGAAATAATTTCATCAATTGAGACTCCTAAATATGTTAGTCAAAAAGAAAATAGTAAACTATTAATTGAAGATGTGTGACATTTGTTTATGCTGTGGAACATTTGTTTAATGATGAAAGATGTATTACATTATTTTAAGTTGCATTTCCTTAACTCTATGACAGTGTGTTACTTTACCTCTCTAAACACTTGATTGGTCTAATGAGGAACTGAATGGGCAATAGCAAGGCAGGAGAAAGGATAGGCAGGACTAGGAGGCAAAGAGAATAAACAGAAGCAATTTGAGAAAAAGGGAAAAATGAAAATAGAAGGAAAGCAGCCACCCAGATACACAGCAATTCATGGAGTAAGAAATAAAGAAAAGATACAAAAAATAGACGAAGGTAAAAATACAGACGCAAAAGGTAGACGGGATAATATAACTTAAGAATAGTTGGCTGAAAACAAGCCAATCTAAGGCCACACATTCATAAGGAAAAGTAAACCTCTATGTATTTATATGGGAGCTGGGTAGAAGGCCACCATAGACCAAAGGGTAAAAGAGTAAAAAAAAAAAAACCAACTAACTACAGAACTAGGAACTACAAGCAGTTTTTTGGTACAATGTTTATGAAATATGATATCTACAAAGCCATGTTTTTCTCAAATTTGATTTAATTTTAATAGAGAGAAATATATTAAACTATGAAATTTGGTAGCAAGAAAAATTGCATATGTTACATTACCTTGTATATAGGAAATAGTCTAAAAGGACAGCCAAATAAATGAAGACACTGCACTTAAAATACAATCCTGATGAAATAATATTGATATAGTTTGTGTGTGTGCTTGAGTGTGTGCATTTGTGTGTTTGTGTACAACAGTCACAAAGAAAGTAACATGATCTAAGTAAATTGACA